TAATGATCGATGATGATCATGAAAAAGACGATGACTCTGGGGTTAGTAAACACTGCCGGGTGTGTGAAAGCTCTCCCGGTTGATGTGCAATGCACTGTACGTACATGGACTGTGTGTGATAACTTGTGCCGAGACTTGCAGACCAATGAGCCAGACGCTGCTGCTTTTTGCACTGAATTCATCTGCACACATCTGTGAGCTTACTTAAGGGTATTTTGGATTTAAAAGACTGTTTTCACAGTCTGTGCAAACTCATGCCAAAAAATTGTAACATCCATTAATTAAATAAATGAAAAAGAACTGGCACACAAAGCTGAAAGTCTTTCCATTCTTTTACTGATACAATCAATAAATGTTCTGCCAAATCCTACTTTAAAGTGGTATAGATACCCCAGTGTGAGTCTGGTTTTATTGATGTTATATTTATGTTCCCTTGTCCTCCTGCAGAAAAACAGACATTTATTTGTATTTTGTACATTTTTGGTTAATTTAGTTAGTATACTATAGGGATTATGTAAAGAGTTTGTTCAAATGTTTGCATTGCAGAAACGGATCATGTTTCTGAATTTGAGGTACAGGAGCACGTCAGTGTACAATGTTTTCCCTTTTTATCTCTTTGGGATCAGACAGAGGTTGAATGTACTGTCAGTGTGCACATTATCAGTGTTGGCTGGATTACTGATGCTGTGTGTCACATCCTGATATTGAGTTATGTGCAGTGCTTGTACGGTGAATACATTTGGTACTCATTAAAGAGACCTCTCTCATGTCTTTACTAATGTGATCTAAAAAATGAGGTGTGTCATGTCAGGGATGGATTTGTCTGACAACAGCTTCTCGAGGAACACTTGCAGGTTGCATCTCTTCCCCACCAAAATTTGATTTGATTTTGAAATGCTACATGACTTCAGATGTTGATTTTGATTATACAATTTATATTTGAAATTTCTTCTAAAACTCACTATATAACATGTATACTGTAAAAAAAGATTTTGAAACTCAGTTTCAAGGCAACAAAGTTCAATATGATTTAACATTAAAAATAAGGTTTGTAAATTTTGTTTTATAATAACTATGTTCAAATGACAATGTAAAACCAATGTTGAAAGGGGTCACTCACATGAACCTACAGAGAATTATCAGATGAGTTTTATAGTAAATTTCAGCTCAGTTTAGCTGCCCGGCTGCAACTTTACTGTTTTGGACCGCTCCCACCACGTCATTTTCAGCCATACCAGGCAGCTGCTCTCAGAGAAGAAGCTCTCTGAGAAAGATCTCTGAAACTTCAGAGAAAAAGCTCAGAAAACACACTGTACACTACCTGCCCAGCAGCAACCAGCAGGCAGACACAGTTAGACACTAGCTGTTGAACGTTGTGGAGCATTTAGCAGCTAAAGAGCCTGATATTTCCCTCAGGAGTTAGACACCACAAACAGAGCCAAACAAGAGTGAATATTGGACTTACACAGATGACTCCAAAAATCTGTTATTGCAGTCTGCCTTTGAGCTGATTACTACAACTTTTCACTTCTGCTAATTTACTCTTTGTTGGATTAGTTTATTAATGTATTAATAATAAATGTACACATTCACATTGAGTGTTTACTCATGTTGCTTTAACTCTAAGCAATGTCAAGTCCATTCACTTATTATGTATAAAAACTGCTTGTATCAGCTATTGCGTTAGCAAGAGCTACAATCAGACCAGGATCAGACACATGTAGCTTGATTGATGTGAAAATACATACCTATCTTCATCATCAAAAGACTATAAAGAATTACTGTAGAAAAACAAAGGCTTTTTGGAGAATCTCAACCTAGCATGCTAACAGCTAACGTTTGACCTTCTAAACAACATTTTTTGATAATATAAACTGACATTCAGATGGGCATTTGGTCAACTCATATTAACTTATGATTATGAACTCCAACCAGACAGTTTAAGTTGACTTGCAACTGACAGTTATAGTAATTTAAAGGTCCAGTGTGTAACATTTAGGATCATCTATGTCAGAAATGAATATAATAGTTTCATAGGGTATGTTTTCATTAGTGTATATCACCTGAATATAGCAATCATTGTGTTTTTGTTACCTTAGAATTAGCCGTTTTTATCTACAGGGAGTGGGTCCTCTTCTATGGAGTCCACAATGTTGAACCACCATGTTTCTACAGTAGTACAGATTAGAAAAGTTTTTCAGACACCGTAATTTCTCCTACGAATGGTCTTGGAAGGCTGAGCTGTATTTAAATGGTTGCAATCTGCAACTTCACCACTCAATGGCAGTAAATCCTACACACTGATCCTTTAATGATATTTAATGGCATTTTACAATGTATATAATAATATAATATAATCCCTAATGCGTTTTTGTATTTTCCGTCTCTCTCCCTACCAGATGCAATGTGGACAGCAAAGTATCACGAGTGGCGTGGCTCAACCGCACCACCATTCTATTTGCGGGAAGTGAGAAGTGGTCCCTGGACCCTCGCGTCATCCTGATGGAAAACACAGCAATCACAGAGTACAGCATTAAGATCCAAAACGTTGATGTCCACGACGAGGGGCCCTACGTCTGCTCCATCCTCACAAACAAGAAACCAAAATCCACAAAAGTGCATCTCATCGTTCAAGGTAAGACCTCACCTGCCCCTTCAGTGCTTGTGTTCAGCTACAACAAATAAGCAAAGGTGTCAAACAAGATCAGGGCTGGAACAGTGCTGTGTGTTGGAGAATTGTAAACCCAAGTTGTCTTGGACCAGTGCGAGTCTTCAGTCAAATCAAATAAACGTTCCATCCTCTGTTTTAGGACAGCGTGATAAGATGGAATTCAGCAAGCATTAGACCTGGTGATGAAACCGGGATTCAATCTCGATTTAATTTCAGATTGCTGATAGATATTGATTTAGGGCACAGTACGTTGAAAAATGTCCTGGCTCCGTTTCATTGCAAAGTCCTACTAAATCAACTGTCAGCGCTAAGACTTTTGTTATCTCTTATGATGAAATCCATTTCCTTCACAGTGAGTTTCCACAAACAATTAGCACCACAAGCCCCTAGCCTGCATTTGATGTTTAGATCATGTAGCTGGATTAAATTGACATATAATTAAAACTAAGATGAAGTACAACTATCAGAAAAGAATACAAGAAAAGACTGCTGGCAAACGCTGACTGGACGCAGTTTGAACCATTTGAGATTTTGACATGAAATCTTGATTTCTTTGAGAATACTGTTTTTTAAATAAACTTTCATTAAATAATAATTAGCAGTGACTATTTTTCACACTGTATAATTCATGATGATATCTCAATGACTCTCAATTGATTGTGTTTTAATCCAACAATAGACGAGCATATTCTTGCACAGACGAAGAACAGGCAGCTTCTATTATACTTTCCCATGGATTTTATCCGTCCTTTCTCCTGACCTTGAATAACCCCAACCATCTGGACGCTGCACACTCACACTCAAAAACAAAGCAGCCACGAGATCTGCAAAACGCATGAAACCGGGCTTTGATACCCCAACAAAACACCGGTGGTGCTGCTTTGTGTTGGCACACCAAAGGAGGCATGCACCTGCCCGAGCGATCAGTACACATGTGAGTTCAACAGCGTCTGTCAAACCACAAATGTGCTCCTGCCACAGCTCTCCATGTGAAGTAGGACTGTCATTTTCCAGAAATTGATTAATCATTAAAGGTATTACACAAAGTGAAGGTTTTCCTTCATAATAGCATTTTGAAGCTACTGCTCCAAGTCAATAATGGCAGATTATGATAAAAATATAAAATAATGCTTTCATGTAAAATTGTGGTGCTCCAACTCCCTTTTGTCAATATTCAACAAAGGAGAGACAAGTTCAAAATATTAAATAGCTGTTACCAGAAGACATATGATAGGTTACACCAATCTCTTCACAGCAAACTTCAGTCTTGTTGATTTTATTTACAATAGTCATATCTCATGATCGGGGTGTTTGTTCACTGTTTGTAGTGTTTCATGTGTTTGTGTGTGTCCAAGGCAAAGTTGGGAGGGTTACTTTAAAAATGCATTCCAATACAATTACAAATTATCGGTTCAAAAATTTTGAAACTTAATCCAAGTATCATAATATTAGAGTAAAACAACTATTAATTTTAATTACTTGATGAAAAAATATAACTTACGGCAAGGGGAAAAGAAATAACAATAAGACGACTTTTACAGAAGTGTATTAGCAGATAACAGAACAATGTAACCACCTAAAGAAAATTTGAGGGAATCTGTATAGCTCACCTGGTAGAGGCCCTGCTGCAGCGGCCAGGGTTCAAATCTGACCTGCAGCCCTTTACTGCCTGTCTTTTTTTTCCTGTAACTTAACGGAATACAGTTAGCATTTTATTGTATCCTAATTACGTAATGTTGTTCCATGTATTGCGTTACTCCCCAAGCCTGGTCCCAGGGATGCACAGATACTGTTGTGGCACTTTTACCAACCCAGGGAATCTACATCTACATTTCACTTCCAGCAGTACTCACAAATAATGGAGACTAAAGAAAGAAAGTTCATGACTTTTGTTTTTGAAGGTTCTCTTTGCTAGCCACATCCACACTAGACAATTCCCAGACAACAATTCTCTGTGATTTTCACATTGTTACTTTATGTTGCTGGAGACACCGGTATGTGTCAGCTGATTATTTAGAACACTATAGCTCTCAGGACTGCCACAGTAAGGTGCCAGAAATGAACAACATTTGTATATTCAGAGATTCTGGAAGTTTTAATGAGGCAGAAGGAGGAGATGACTTTTGAAGGATTTTAATGTATGACTATTTGTCTTAACAAATGTCTGGAAGGGATCATTGGCATCAATAATTATATAGACACCCAGATTATATTTTTATTTATGTACTATAAAAATAAAAATGTGGAAAAGATGGAATGGTTGTGACAATATATTTTAGGTGCTAATACAAATGAGAAAGCCAGCAGTTAAATCTAATTCTCTGCTTTCTCATGTTTTGGGATTAAAATCTCCTTCAGATGATGTCCTCAGGCAGGGGAAACATTTGAAGAAATGTAAGACAAGCTTTTTTTCAGTGCAATTAAAAACTTCCATCCTGCCTTCTGTGTTGTATTTGTGTACAGCTTGTTTAATGCATATTGATAGCTGCCATGTAGTGAAGTAGACTGACATTTATGTAGGCTGTTGGGCTGTTTATTTGGGTAGAGGGACAGTCATGCTGCTTTGCCCTGATTTCACACATGCCAGTAGACAACATGATAAATTCAGTTTTAACATACAATCGGTGTCAATTGTTGAACTTTGTGAGAGTTTTTTGTTGCGGGATATTTTCTTAGTACAGGGGGTACAGATTTATGTTGCACCCCCCGGAGTGAGAAAATGAATGAATACAGTACCGTACAGGCACATCTATGGCAAAGACGGATCAGGAAGTCCATGGGGGATGTTAGTGGTGCCTTTGGTCCCCACAGGTGCTCTCCTCTCTAGCACCTCAGAAATGGAGATTGGTGTTGAACCTGTACACAGAGAAGGACTCTGGAGGCTAACATCAATCAGCCCAGTGACCTTGTCAGCTGATACCCTCAGGAATATAGGGCATCCGCTTCCATGGTGACTGCACACAGGGAGTGGACTGACTGCAGTTAAGCCACACTGCAAGAAAAGAATAATATCTTAGAGTGCTTTGTAATGCATTGCGTATGTATTCCAAGGACTAGAAGTGGCAGAAAAGGAGCCAAGGACCCCGACTCAACATCAAGTGGTGGTTACACTCTGATCCCAACTGAAGGACTTGGCTCTGCTTCTTTAATGAGCAAAGGGCCTCACTGTGTGCCTCTTATTAACTCCCTGAAACACCCCAGCAAGAGCACAGTCCTAAGAGTAAGTTTATCTCGAGTTAGGACACTTACACTAAAGAAATAGTGAGAAAAAAGGTAGCCCTGCTTTGGCATATGCAGTTATTGACTTACAGCGAGCGATGGAAAGAGTACTGAAAATCTGTAAATAGAAGTACTGTTAATGAAATATTACTCAGCTACAAGTACTGGTGTTAAAAAAAGAGTAAAAGTATTCTTGTCAAACCCTACTGTATTAGTTACTTTTTAACCATTGATGTTTAATGCATTATCAACAGCAGACATTCAGTGGAAAAGGTAGATCCATGTAGAAAATACTTCCAACAAACATTTCTCTGATAATAAAAGGTACCCGAACTAAACAAATACACAGATAAGTACTGAAAATGTTTTTGAACCTGTGTAGAACACATGTAATCAGTTTGACTTTCTCCTAGGACTGTACCAAACAGACAGATTCAACAATTCATTCCTTTTGTTCAGTGTGTAAGTGTAATGACTAAGCCAAAACACAAAAATGCAGACATTCAACTCGGGTTCTTCTCGACCGATGATTCTAATCATTGACTTTCCGTGTCTCTGTCTTCAGTCCCTAAATTACTCCTTTTTTGTCACAGTTTTCATTGGCCTGCAGTGTGTTTTATTGCCAGATTTGCTTGCACCACGTGGAAAAAGACGCCTAAGCTACTCAGTAGTGAATTATGATTTTAAAAGTAAAAAAGTACATTACATAGTGTAATGCATACTTGAGAGTAAAATTAGGTTTTGCCACTGCAGCCTTACATGATCTAGTATGTCCAAAAGCTTATGTTGGCTAATTCAATGCATCATTATCTTATAACTGCCACATTCGTTCTCAGGTCCAGCTGTTCACTCAGTTCAGTCTCACTTTAAATACATGGAGTGAAATGGGTGTCTTCATATTGCTTTTAGATAAAACAGCTCAATTGTAGTAAATAAATAAATTGCATGAAGCCTGAACATATATATCTTCATAGCTAGAGGTTGATTCAGGCTTGCAGTTGCTGTGACACCAGTTCAGGATTACAATTTTTTATTTTTTACAATTGTTGCTCGAAATAACCCTCAAGATGTCAGCAGCACAAGTCAACAACTTCACCCAGCAGACAAATTTTTGGTTGTGATTTTATTTTTGCCCCCTGCCTTTTCGCACCTCAGCTGGCCTGTAACAACCCCCCCCCCCCCCCCCCNNCTCTGCTGCGTGCTGGTTCAAACTCTCAGCACAGCGAGCGCACGCAATGTTCGCCCCATGCAGTCTGCTCTATCGGGCTGTAATGCCTTTTATGAGGAGGAACAGAGCAGGCCACTGGAGGGAGAGTCAGCATTTTGCCTTCAGTTGAAGATTTCTCCCAACATTGGTACCAGTTACTATTCAAGACAGCTGTTCTTTGACCACTGTTTAGTGCACTAGCAGTGGTTTGCAGTTTTGCCTTAGAACAGAAAGGGCTGTTCTTGTGTCAGATCTCCCACAGTCTAATCACATGCAGTTCAGGTAGTCCTTGTGGAATGTGGAGGTGAAAAAAAGGTGTTTGCAACTCTCAGAAGGTGCTGACATTAGAAGGCGAGCTCCAACTCATCACGACCCATAATGCTAGTGAGGAAATGATTTATTGAAAAATTACCTACAGATATTTTTGCTTAATTTTCCAGAATATTGCACATTCTAGAACTCATGCAAAACAGTTTCTAGGCTGCACCAGAGATGGCTGAGCCACTGTGGCTACTTCTCCAGGTATGCATGCTTTAAA